TTACAAAGAGGTGCAATTAAGTGAGACTGTTCTTATTCTATGAAAAACCTTGAAGCATACTGCCTTTTAAAAAGTAAATCAATTGCAAATGGCAGTACCTATCTCTTCCAAGTAACCAACTCCTTAGGTTTAAGTCACTTGTGAGATTGTGTGAGCTAGAATAGAGCAGTGCTCCTTGGCTATTCTTGATATTGGTCCCAGTGGGGGCCAAGAACCAGCAGGCACTAACACAGGGCTATCGCCTTGTGAGCTTATACCCCCCTCATCTGTCCATATTTTTAATGCTGCACAAGGTGCCCCCACAGGAAGCCCTCTGTCCTCTTTCCACAGGGTTATTATGCATCCACATAAAAGAGTTACAGGGTTTTGAAGAAAGAGTTATTCCTACACCCCCTTTCATACATACATACAGCCTTCCAGATATGCAAAGTTGGCAAAGGATGCATTTAATTGTGATGAAGAAACAGATAAATAAATAAAACTCCCTAAGTGGGCAAACACAGCTCAAGTCCCCAAATCTTCCGGCTGAAAACACGGTTATGGTACCAAGGCTCCTGGGACCCACATTGGCAGCCCTCCAAGACCTAGTAGTTTGCATTTACACACTGAAAGAAAAGGTCAGATAAATTAAAAGTGAGAAGGTAATCTTGAAGAAGGACATCTTTATTCTCAGCACCCATACAGTACACCACACATGGTGGGTGCCCAGAAAACACTCAGACTCACCTGTAGCTGGGTCAATGTCAACAACTATGTTGGAGTTGTTTGTGTTGACACAAGATGTAAGATAGTGTAGAGACATGGCTTAGATTAGAAACTTTAAGAAAATGGAGCTGGGGAGATCTTTACTCAACTTCAAAAATAAATTTGAAAAACAGTCATCTTCAGGTTATTAAGAGTGACTATCTACTTCAAAGCCATTATTAACTTTAAAGGCAGCCTAGTAAAGCACGCACTGACAAGCACCAGATTTATTTCTGACCCAAACCTCTCAACTGTGACCTACATGACACCCACTCCCAAATGCAAAAATGATTTCCTTTCTCTTTTTTAAAGTATTTAATTCTGCAACACATACTTAACAAAACTGCCCACTAATTTTATACCACACTGGAACACTACCCCAAACCCTCTGATTCCTCCAAAATCCACCATAACAAACTCCCAAAGATAAAGCTCCTGACAGCACTTGATTTCCTGCTTTCCTCACCGCTCTCCTACTTGAATGCATAATAACATGACACAGGGGCTCCCTGGTAGCTCAGTGTTAAAAGACAGCACCATCAAAGCTATCACCAGCCACTGCAGCACAAGTTAGATACAAGCCAGCCAGGGAGCTAACCCATGTGGTACAGCAGGCCTCTCCTGTCCCACCTGCTGCTCCCCTCAGCAGTGTATTTCAGTATATCTACTTGTCCTGCTCCCCACTCTGTCTCTGGAGAATCCTCTCACCACCCATACCCCCATACCTCTGGCCTACACCCCAGTTCTCATATACATAAAGAACCTTAAAAAATAATAATACAGGCCCTCCCTGGTGGTGCAGCGGGTTAAAGCACTGCACTAAAGCCACTTCCGCATGAGTTCGATCCCCGCCTACCCCATGGTGACCACATGGTGTGGCAGACCTCTCCTGACCACCCGCTGCTCCCCTCAGCAGTGTACTTCATCGATCTGCCTGTTCTGCTCCCCGCTCTGTCTCTGGTGAATCCTCTC